TAAGATTTTTTTACCAAAGCATTACAATTTTATCCTTTATTTTTCAATTAAATACAACAACAGTTAAAAAACAGAACACAGGCCTTTGTGAGTAGCTCTACACTTACAAATTCTGCAGTGCTTCCCAGGGGTTAGCAACTAGTAACTTACACCATTAAATTGCTGAAATTATTCCAGGATATTACTAGTCCCATCCCAGAGTATTCCTGGGCATGATGTAGGAGCAAGTATGGGCCAAGGAGCACTTCGGTAGGCAGCTGGGATGGGGCCATCCTGTTTAGAAGGTAGGAAGGTTGAACACTGTGAATGTGTTCATTCCAGTTTGCCTCAGTGAATCACATGATTAATTTGCTATTCTAGATACAGACTGTATATGCATGTGCTGGGTTTATCATGGAGTCCTAAAAAAATAAATTATAAACCAGCAATATCAGTGCATTTTATAGAATTATGAAAACCATATGAGAACTACAAGAGGTATGATATTTTGTTTCAGGGCTAAAACATCAGTATCACAACAAGGAAGAGATCCTTGACTGTTGGAATTCTCACTTAAATCAGTTTTACAGAATCACGGAGTAGATAAGGTTAAAAGGCATCTTTGGAGATTGACTAGTCTAACCCCCATGCTCAAAGCAGAATCAAGGAGAGCAGGCTGTCCACAACCATGTCCAGTCAGTTTTGAATAACTCCAAGGATAGAGACTCTGCAGCTTTGTTGGGCCGCCTGTTTCACTCCTTAAAAAATTTACAGTAAAAGAGGTTTTCTAATGTTTAAGTTGAATTTCCATTGTTTCAGTTTGTGCCTACTGCTTCTCATCCTTTAACTGGATACCACTGAGAAGTGTCTGGCTCCAGGCTGATCGGTTCCAGCTCTCTTAGCATCTCTTCATATATCAGATGCTCCAACTACTCCATCCTGTCCATGCCCTATACTGGACTCACTCCAGTATGTCCACATCTTCTTTTTACTGGCGAGCCTAGAAATGGACCCAGCACTCCAGTTGTGTCTCAGCAGGGCTGAGAAGAGGGGAAGGATCACCTTTTTCAACCTTCTGGCAAAACATCAAAAGAGGAAAAAAGAATACTTCAGAAGAATTATCTACTGATTTCTTGATCCTTCCACAGAATGATATCAAAGTGGAAAAAAACATTAACTCAGTTAACAATGTGCTTCTAAATCAACTTTATGGCCTCTCGTGATTTTTTTTTAAGTGTGCATTTTTCTGGTTTTGCACCTGAGACACCTCATTAGATATCTGACATTCTCATCATAAGAAAAGAATATATAGTGATAAAATTGTAAGTAATAAGGAATAAATTTGTAGTATTGATAAAATTATGCTCGTAAAAGAGAAGGATGGAAACTGATCAAGGGTAGTCTCAAAGGAGAACTCATGTAACTTGAAACCACATTCCCACTTTTCTGTCACAATAGTTTATACAAATCATGGAAACAAATTATTAATATTTACTACTACACTGCCTGTAACTGTCTTGAGCTATGTTAAGCTTGATTAGGACTTGCATATTTAAAACTTGATTTAGATTTAATTAAGTGGCATATAGGCATGTTTTTGGTTCATCTTTTCAGTTACTGTTGACAAAGAGACAGCAGGATGTTCAGTGTTTTTAAAGTATAAGTATTTTTAAGCTAGTACATAGATTGCCTCTAGCAATATTCAGAGTCATTTAGAAATAATCAGAAGGCTGAATTTGGTGCACTGACAACATCCATTTCCTCTAAGCTTTTAATTTGGCACATGTCATTAATAACATCAGACTAACATATTACCCCTGGCACACGGTAACTGCCAGATGATTATCCCCGAATGCCATGCTTGTAAGAGTTTGCAACTTTAAAGTCTTTTCCATTCTGGAAGCCAAACTGATATATGGGTGACTAAAGCCATCACAGTAGATTACTGTTATTGATTTTTCCTAAGCAACTCTCCCTACTTCTCATGTAAATTAAGACAAAAATTGAGCAACCTGGTCTACTGGAAGGTGTCCTTGCCCATAGGAGGGGGATTGGAACTAGATGACCTTTAAGGTCCCTTCCAACCCAGACCATTCTATGATTGAAAAAGGAAGCTTTATTGTGCATTAGTTTTTGATTAACTGATGTCTCCTAGGGTAAAATAAGAACACTTTATGGTTTCCACCTCTAAAATCTTGCAGAACATAACAGCTATAGTCTTTAGTAGTTCAGTTTTAAGTCATACTGATAGATTTGTTTCTTTCAAGGGAGCATTTTTTCACAGGACTGTTCTAAAAATAGCTGAAATCCCTCCAAGTAATATCTTTCTTTCTCTTACTTCTCCATTAACTTTTTTCTTTTGTTTTGCTCAAAAGTAGTCATGCCATCTGTCCTTGGGATCAACTTCATTACATAGCAGTTGAAACTCTATATTAGCCCCCATCTTTGTAAAACTAAAAACATAGTTCATTTGCACAAGGAATGTCATGGAATTTTGCTTAAAGATTAGCAGAAAACATGGCATGGAAATCGCAGGTCCAGCCATTTAGCAACTGACCAGCCTGAACAGGCTTGACACCCAATTTGGCTGTAATGTGTGAATATGTTATATCTTGCACAATGCTCCCTCTTGCCTTTGGTAACCATTTCTGTATTGTGATCAAGAAACTTTGACAAAAACTGTACACCATTGTTCTAGGCCCACTTGCAAACATCCAGGCTCCTAAAGAGCTAAATAGATGCAGAAGAGAGAACAAAGTATTAGACTAGTATAAGTATGCATTGTAAAGGTATATATTCCAAAGTGTGATAGTCGAGCTGAGGAGTGGTCTCCAGCTTGCCTTTTTCTCCAGCAGTGCTACATCCAGCATAGAGCCCGTCTTCTGTATTCAGTTTGAAAATGCTTTAAACAGATTTCAATGACATGAAGATAACTCTAGTTCATTGTTTTGCCACTTCATTATAGTATGGTATTGTAGTAGTATCTGGAGGATTCATTCATATATATAGGCACTGTAAAAAACACAAATCATTTCCTGCCCCACAAAGTTACAGTTAGCAGTGAATAACTGATATGAATTACTTAACATTCAAAATCACAGTTTGAAGAAGTGGAACTTCCTATTTGGGAAAAAAAAAAAAAGAAATCCATTGTGTGTTCAGGGCTGTTTGAAAAAGAATGGACTAATTTCCAGTCAAGTATGATTAAAAGCCCTAAAACGGTACATCCATTTTATGAAGATGGGTTTTTTCAGACACACACAAATTTTGGTGATAAAAGTAACTTCTGTTTCAGACTAATATAAAATTGAATCTGCAAAAAAATTCTCTGTATAAGAGGGAGAATTTCCCTGTCATTTTTTTCCCATTAAGCCATCTGTAATAGAGATCAGATAAACAAAGTGTAGTCTGATAGAGAGAACCACTTTATTCTCTTTTACTGAAAATAACACTGAAGCATTAAAGCATTATCTTCCACAGGATGTGCATTCATTGGAATCGGTTTATACAGATTCATCTATTAAAAACACGTGTAAACCCATGTCACACCCAGTATGCTGTTGTATACAATCCACCAACAGAATTTTGCAACCTGTGTTTTGGTCCAGTTGTGTGCATATGTATCATTAGCAAAACTACAGTATCAGTTTCCTGATCTGTGTACTATTAAACGCTCCAGAAGAGCTTATGCTTTGAAACTCACAATTGCAAAAACTATCATTGCCAGAAGTCCATAGCCAAAAACTCTGTTCCTGTACAGCTTTACAGACTGAACATTTTCTGTCACATTTAAGAAACACTAAGTCCAATAGGGTGTGGCACACAATTAGGCACACTTTGTTAAAATAATTGTCTAATGTCCATCAAATAAACAATAAAACCAAAATCATTCATTGAGACCTAATCGAACCAGTGGCTCTTATATTAATAGATACATTTACCAAAAAAAAAAAAAAAGCTCAGAAACTGACATTCAGTGGTTTTTATTCTTTGTTGGTTTGGTTGCTTTGGGGTTTGTTTTGAGTGGGGTTTTTTTGTTTGTGGTGGTATTGTTGTTGGTTTGGTTTGGGGTTTCTTTTGGCAATCCTTCCTTTTTCAATTTGTTGTAGAGAATGGAAGAATTGAACACTACGTAATAGTATCTGCTAAAAATCTGAGCTCCCAAAAAACATAAGGAACCTCTAAATCCTTAAGGACAGTCTCAGGGCTTTTCATAATACTTTCCTGCTTTTATTTTATTTAACTGAGGCTGGAACAGAACTACTTTGGAGTGGAGAACAAGTTAATTCATGTAAACCTGTGTAGGACCTCCTACTATTTTTCTGTGTAGACTACTAGCAGAGAGTAAAATCCATGTGTATGACTTTTCCCTCCTGTAAGCAGAGTTTTTGTAGCCATGTAGTCACAGCACATTAACTCAAATTTCTACAGAGGTATCATGAAAAACTTGAATTACACCACTCAGGGAACCTGTATAACACAGACACACACTTTTCTCATGACAAAAATTTACAACTAATTGAATTATATATAAATTTTGAACTCACAGGGATTAAAGAAAGGCAGAATATCAAAGGCATCTAAAAGACAAAAAGTTAGCATTATAGTCTTTAGCCTTGTCTCCAAAAAGGTCAGTGAGTAAGACATCAGTTTTTACGAGCTGTCAAAGTGATGAGCATGGAGGTGGTTAAGATCTATTTCTTCTTTGACTAAGGAGATTGCTTGAGCAATGACTAGGGAAATACAGTCAATGTTTTAAGTACACATTAGGTGCATTGGTCCTATTAGGTGGTATTTTTCTCCTTATCGCTGTTCCATTCACCCTTGCATTTTCAGCATTCATTTTATTGGTGTTTCATTACAGTTCACAGGAGCCTTAATGTATTTTCCCTAACTTTTCACTGTAAACTCCTGCAATAATCATATTCTTGCAATAATATGAAAAGAAGGAGAACCAAGATGTAATGACAATGCAAACCAAAAGACAATATTCCACCACATCCTCAAAGGATCTGATGTCTCCTTGTTGTTCTAAGGCGTGGTTTCCGTGGAGTGGAAAGATGCAAAATGGAAGATAGATGGATAAAGGTGGATTATTGCAGGAAAAGGAAATAATTAAAAGTAATTAAAAAGAGGAATAGGTAAGTCACTCTCCTAACAAACTGATGGAAAAAAAACCCAGAATGATAGAGAAAGAATTAGAAAAGCAATAAATTTTTTTATCCAGACAATTTTTTAATTCTCTATGTACAACTATATGAGTGTCTACAGGATATAATATAGGTCTAAATATTCTTATTCTATTTGTTAAATATGCACTACTCCAAGGAAAGACATGAAGCTTTTTGAACTGTTTAAAACAAAGATAATCATATTTCCGCTAACCTTTTCCTATTCAGCATCTTCATGTGGGGAACACTTTAAAAATTATTTTCTGGATAGATGATGTCCCTGCAAGGCATCTCTAGACCTCTCCATGCAGTGAAGATGAGATTCTTCAGCAGTCTCTTAGCAGTCTACATCTTCCAAATGTGCCTAGAGCAGAGGAGGGAGAGACAGTATTTGATTGAACACTACTCAAATAGAGAAGGGTAAAGGTCAAGCAGAAAGATAAAAGTATTATTCTTGGGGTCATCCCATTTTTTTCTTTGAGGAAATCATTTTCATAGTAGTATGATTTGCAATGCCAACCATGCTGCTGTAGATACTACTAAGACAAATCATTATGAAAGGTCTCCAGCCCTAACATATCGTATGTTTTAACATTAGCCATGACAGTCACTCTATGACTAGCTTTTTATCCCAGGTGCACTTCTGCCTATAGCAAGAAAGCTGCAATTCAGCTTGCAATAAATATAAACCACTACAATATATTGATTTTGATATTTTCACTTTAGATGTGATTTATAAGGATTAGATGCCATACATCATGGTTCATAAATACAACATAGAAAAGGCAATTATTAGAACTAATTAAAAATTCACACATCTGGGACTATGGATAAACACTTCAAGATAACTATTTATCTACCCAAATTGATAACAGACACAGTGAGAGTACAAGAAAGACAGATGGATGCTATGTTTCTGGGAACATATACGCTGCTAGCAGGTAAAATTATTTTGCTCATATCTTCCTTTATGGTTGGGAAAAAACAGCCCTCGGGTTCCATTGTAGCATGACACAAAATGTGGCTTGTGCAAATGTAACATGTTGGTGCAATTGAGAAGACCTCACATATGTTGAACTGACTACAACATGGCATCAGCCACTTGGGGCATTTGGTTAATGCATTTAATTTAGCACAGTAATTGCTGCATGAGATCTAACAAATTGTCAAGTTACTGCCTATTCTGTGCTTAAGACTAGTTATTTTCCTTTCTTTTACCGTGTCCTTTTTTTTTAATTTGTTCTGTCATGGTTTGAGATCCTCAAAATCTATTTCCCTAGTCCTAGCCCCCTGTCACATCTCAATCCAATGTGAGATGGGTTTTTTTCCAGACAAAACACACCAGACTCAAAATGGGGGAAAGGGAATATATTACAATGACTGTACAAATAAATAAATACTACAATATATTATACACACGATGTCAACTATCTCTACCATGACATAAGTACTTACAATGGATCAGATCTCTTCTCCCCTCCAAATAAAAGTCCAGGAGGGAAGAAGGACAGATCCCTTCTAGTCTCTACTCTGATCAGCAGTATCTTCTAAGGCGGCAGTCATCTGTCTTCCTCACATGCAGTAACTAATAGCTGGATTTCTGCCAGCACTCACAAGGGGGGTATCCCCCTCGTCCCCGTTGTTTCCAAACGAGGGGTCTTCCGTGGGCTACGTTCACCCCAGACAAAGGTCGTTCCACCACGGTCATACCACGAAACACAGGGGGTCTTCGTGGCGGTCTGGTATCTTCAGGAGACTCAAGCCTCTTGCAGAGCTTCTGTGCCCTGTCTCAGGATGGCTGTGAGCTTCTTTGTAGCTTGCAGCAGGGGAGGGCCCCAAGGTCCACCTCCCACACATTTTGTCCTGGCTGAGCTGTCAGGACTACTGAGCTTCTTAGCTCTTCTCTGCAGTGCATGTCACACTTCACCCCTCCCTTCTAGGACGTAAGGGGAGGGTTTCCAAGGAGTTTGGGGGTCTGGTTCAGTTCTTACCCCAAACACTGTAACTCTGCTGCTGACTCTCTTTCTCGGCTCTCCTTCCAGGAGTCCTCTCTCTGGTGCTGCATGCTTCTGTTGCTTTGTCTTATGTCTTCTGGCCCTGTGCCACCATTTCTCCGGTCAGTGTTGGTCTGTCGCTACTCCTGCCACTGCCCACGGTGGAGAAAACATCTCCCAGCATAACTACAGACACTTAGCCCAGTCTAACACTGTTCCAAGTCTCTGCAGTCCCCCAGCTGGGGCCGGGGGGGCAGAGCCCCCCCGAGGGGGCTCTTGCCCTCTGCTCCTCGTGGCTTCAGAACATGGCTACCACTTCTACAACCAAACTACAACTCCTCTCTTCTGGTCTGGTTGTGGTATGTTTATATTTCGCAGAAGCGCAGATTGGTTCAAATCTCAAGTGTCACCACCCCTTGGGGGTTACCACTTTCTTAGCTTCAGGGGGAAAACCTGGTTCAAACCACTACATCTTTATCTCATCTTTATTTTAAGGAAGATTTCTGTGACTCTAGTGAAAAAAAGGAGAACTCTGTTCCACATTCAGATAGAGGAAAGTGCTCATTTCTGACTGGATGGTTTCTTAGGCTGATGAAATTGACTGCACTGTGGTTTGAGTAATCCAGCAGCTTTCCCGTCTAATTTGTTTCTGACTTAACTTGCTTATTTGTTAGAATTAAATCAGCAGATACATTTTCCTACCACATTAGTCAAACCAAAAGAAATGCTCTGAAGTAACAATAATTTCTTTCATTAATATTTATCCCATGAAAACATTTGTCTGACATATTTATGAACAGCTGAAAGTACTGAGTAGTTCTGCGAGTGCTTCATAAGAAGGATGAATATGTCAAGTCACCTATTTGAGCTCTTTGGCTGCTTTATACATTATCACTGTGAAAAGCTATGAAAGTAAGCCATGATATATTATAGGTTGAACCAGGACAGAAAAATATAAAGTTCTTAACCTGAACTGAAATAACAGAAAATAGTGGGATAAAAAGAATCAGCATAGGAAGCTAATCCTATGTATACTTAATGGTTTTCATATATCTATTATGTCTGCACAGGAACTACCTGCTTACTTCTCTTTACCATCAACGTAGAGAGATTCATGTGAACTTTAGGATGAGATAAATCTGTGATTCCTGTCTGACTCGACTACTGACTACTAGATCAGACATAGTTTCTATATGAGAAACACTAACATTTAAGCAGGTGTATCCCACTCAAGCTGCCAAACTATTCCTGTTTTCTGTAGGTTTCTCAGCAGAGGAAGGTGGTTTCTTTTTACAGAGAAGTTTTGGAGGAGAAGAAGGAAATTGTACTGTGGACAATTATGGTTTTTTCCTCCATGTAAAAAGTCCTTAGGAGAAAACACCAAAAAAAAATTCAAACAAGGACTTTATAAAGACTCAAGTGCTGAGGCCAGAAATCAACATCTCTCCAGCAAATATGAATGGAATAGGGAGAACCTGGAATAGGCTTTAAAGATCAAGACAGTGATTCAAAAGAAAATGGGAAACCACTGAATTTATATAATTTCATTGGCACAGTCAAATTTAAATTAAGACCCTATGTACCTTCACAACAGAAGAGAGAGGGCAGAAACAAAAGGAAAAACTGTATCTCTGAAGTAAAGACAGTATGAACTGAGGTTAAAGACGTTGAAATTATTTAGGAATGAAGATGTAATGAAAAGTGTCTGTAAAAAGTTTTCACAGTGAGGAAGAATGAGAGAGAACACAACTTACATACCTTACAGATGTTCCAGGAAAGCATCCACAAGACCTAGCCATACCCTGAATGGCAGAACATGGAGACAAGCCTAAGTGAAAAACAACACTGGATTACATCAGAGGAAATCAGGATGATGTCACGGTGATGAAGAAAAAAAATTATTGTAGATAGTTAAGGAGTTAGAACTCATTTTTTACTTAGACTGACCTATAAAAGGATGCAGTGTAACAATTGAGTATCTTCTGTTGGTAGAACAGGAGAGAAATCCGAAGGAGAGCTCTCTCTTTGAGTCATCTGCAAAGAAACAATGGTTGATTTTGCATGTGTTATTCAGAGATGCAATGCAGAAAGAAAGAAGAATGAGAAAAAAGAAAAAGAGTGAGTCTTATTAAGGGATAATCAATGACAAGAAATTATAAAAAGAAAGACAAGGATTATCAGAAATGGAAGTGGAAAAACCAACAGATGTTGACATCTCACAAGCCAGTGGACAATGGGATTTTAAGAGTATAGTTGATTATATCAGTGATATCTGACAAGATTGATAGCACAGAGTACTGAATACAAGACTGGGCTAAGAAGAGGGAATTTGAAATTTTACAAGAGTAGTTTCAGCTGAGTGAAATTGGTCCATGCTGGGCTTGAGGAACAGAAATGGAGTGACAGGACACAGCATACACAGGAGTGAAATACAAAGTAGCACAGTAACTGGGAAAGGAAATGGGGACAAGAGGGAATTGTTTTGATTAGAAGATATTAGCACAAGGTTCACAAGAAGAATAAGAGAGGAGCCATCACTACCTTTGTTTCTTCAAGAGAAGACAGAAAGTTCTGTCTCTCTAGTCCCCTCTGGTCACATGCTACAAAATTTCTTTAGCAATAATCCCCATTTTGTTAGCCATGCTACTTTATTACACTAACAACATCACAGTACTTCACTGTTAGATTTTCAGCCTCTTCCTCCCAGATGAAGTGCAGGGTAGTAGAGTGCTTTTGCCCAGATTGACAGCTAGTACTCACTGGTAGTTAAATGTGTTCCTCTTTTGGGAGTTATATGAATATAACCTGTCTCTGTCCCCTTCGAGCCAGCAGTGTCTATCCTGGTCAGCTCTTCTGGCTCTCTAGCCACAGATGGTCTCTCTGGTAGCATAGCTACTGACTCTGATTTTTATTGATCAGCAGCAAACAAACCTCGCTGTGCACACAAGCTCAACAGCTGCTATTTCTTGAGCAGTTCATAATTCATGCTTTCTAACTTACTTTACCTATAGCATGCTAACAGATCTGTATTTAGATTTTGTTGAGAGCAAAAGAGAGGGCAACAGCACTGCCATCAGTGGAAACCATGACAGGTATTATGCGAGTGGAAAGGTGTCAAGAGTCATGCTAAGGTAAGACCAGGAGAGGGTCAAAGCTGATGAATTCTGAAATAGTCTCTTGTACATGATAAGAGGCCAAAAAGGAAACAACACTTGAAGGCTGAGGAGTGAATGGTCTTTTGTCAAGCTGGAGAGTTGTAACAAAGCTGAGGGTTGAACGAAGAGCTGAAAGAAGCAACACACATTTAAGGCATTAGGTGGGCCATGAGTATGAAGGTTAACGTCAGCGATGGTGCAGAGTAGAAGACTATGAAGGAAGGAAGAAAAAGCTGTCAAAATCAAGCTGGTATGTAGATGGGTAGAACAAGGCAGAGAGTAAAAGCTCAATATGTTACGGGAGTGGAAACTAGAGTCTAACACAGGGAGGGGTATAAGGGAGGGTACTTGGTGGTATAAATCATTAATAATGCACATCCTTCAGCACTGTGTTTGAACTTTGGGGTTTGTGTCCTACCAGTACTATCATAGTACATACAATGGCAATTTATGCTATTTGCAAGATCTCAGTTCTCCCTCCAGGATATCAAGAATTAGCACAGTTTATTGTTTTCTGACCTTCCATCATATACCAGCATGACTGCAAATTCACTCCCTCTTTTTTGTTGTCTTTTTGTGCATCAAGCATCTAATTTTCCTTTTTTTTTATTTTAAATAAAGATAATAGGTTTATTAAGTTTTTTTCCTGTATTTGTTTCCATGTTACCTCTCTGATGGAATTCTCTGCCCAGTGTTAACCTTCAGTACCCTTAATAGTGTCTTTGTATCAAATTAAGTCTGAATCTGTCCTAATTCAAGAGTGGCTGAAAATTATTACCATTCTGATGGCTGCTCAGTGCCCTTTTTGAAATGAACTGTGATTCTGGTCCAACTCCTGGTGGATGGTCCACATCTCCCAAGCACTGGTACAGCTGGCACTAATTGGCACCCTCGTTCTCAGTCTTAGTAGGCAAGTTAAGCACCAGATTGTGCAATGAATTATTTTCTCACTCCTGGGTGTGATCTACCTGTGTCAAAGTTGAAGCAGAATACAGAGGCAGAGAAGGAAAGCCTGAGTAATTGCTGCTTTTTCTGTGCCATCTCTGTGACTCAGGCCACCAGGGCTGTTCAGATTTCACTATCTCGGAGGTAAAACAAAGACACTTACGAGATGTCCTTGAAAAGCTATTTCTAGACCATAGATAACAATCTGAATGCTAACACAACAACAGGTTGGCAGAAATATTTTATTACCTTAATTGTGAATGAGAAGTAATTCTGTAAAAAAGAAAGAGGGAACTTGTCATCCCACGCTTCAGTGGGATTCTCAGACATATTCAGTTAGAAGCCGAGTGCTACGAATGTCAGATGGTGGGTCCCCCAGGCTCCCTGGCAACCTGCATGTGACTAAGAAAGAGGCAACAGCTTGCTTCAAGTATCCTTCCTAGAGATGACATAGTTAGATAAACCCAACAGGGAGTATAGCACGTGGAGGGAGCAGTCTGGTAAGAGGAAACCATTCCCTTTGGGACTGGCTCCATATTGCCACATGAAATGTTCAAAACACTGCTAGCCAGGAAAGTTGAATTTATTGCTTAATGAGCAGAGGACCCAGAAAAGATCATTGACAACTGCAGTGTAAACACAGCCACTTAATAGGGTGTTACTGAATGCCAAAAGGAAATTAAAAAAATCTGTCCTACAAGCAGCACTTTCTACCATATAGAATATGATTGGAATAAATACAGAACACGGAAAGCAGCTGTAGAGAAACAGATGAGATATTAAAAATGGTGGAAAGAAGGGAAGAACTTAAATCCAGAGGGCATGTTTTTAGACTGCCTTGAGTATAAGAGTTATGTAAAAGAAAAGATGAAGGCAGACAAGTTAGCATAACAGCAACAGAGCGACAGAAGTAACGCAAAATGACACTGTGACATTATTAAGAAGCTCAGCAACACACTCAACCTCCATCACAATGTCATCAGGACAGATGGCAACAATTGGCAAAGACAAGGCACAGCATGTCTGGAAAGCAATAAAAGCCTATAGAAGAAAAAATAATATGAGCAGCTACGGAAAACACAAGAGGGTACTACCGATCTTTCTAGAGGTAAAACAACAATTTATCATTCACCGTATGCATATTTGTCACAACTGCCTGATGGATATGACATCATTTCCCACTTTGTCCAAGACTTGCAAAGAATCAGGACTTTCACACAACTCATTACTACCATTAATTATTCTTTTTAGTACATATGAGACCTATTGTGAAGTACTGCATCATGCTAGGCATTCACCTAAATCTTAAGTAAAAAATGAGCTTAAAACCAAAACCTAGCATGAAACAAAACACTTGGGTGCAGATGAAAGCAGGTACAATGAAAGAGGCTAATCTTCCAGGAATGTCAGCAAAGGTCATAGAGACATGACAAAAAGAGGAAAGTAAACCTATGAAGAGTAAGGTGGTATGGGTTCTTAAAGATGAACTTTTAAAATTAATTGACAAAAAACAGGACAGCCACAGCACACATGAATGACATGAATGTAAGAAACGATAAACCTCGGATAGGAAATAGAAACTCTAGGAAAAAATTGTCAAATGTACAATTATACCTGTGGTATCTAATAACACAATACCTGAGACAGAAAAAGCACTAAGCAAATAATTGTTGAGTAACAGACCAAACACCAGTTCAGCCAGAGCTGGTGTATGCCAAGCAGGACACATGAATCTTGTTCTTGCTGGATCAGGGGTATCTACTGTGAAGCTCCCTCAGTATCACTGGGCAGTACCACCAAAAATCGAGCCTCCATATGTTGAGGTCCCACTGGAGGAGGAACCGAAACTCCTCTGGCTAATTGAGCTCCTTGAAAAGAACTTCATAAATATCTTCACCCAGTAGGGCAGTGGGTGCAATAGAGTTGAAGAAGAAAATATTTTATTAGCCAGTAATTAGAATTACATGGGCTTTGGCAAGACACTTTGTAGCTGAGAAGAGCTATTCACATTTTTTTCTTAGTAGAAATTCATATTATTTATTTCTGCCTCTGTGTTTTTGCATAAAGACACATTTTGAACATGAGTTAAGGGAGATTTACAGAAAGGTAGAGAGTGGCAATACATAAAAAAGCAATGTGAGAAGCCTTATGTGGCACCAGGCCCTGCTGTTCAATTCCATTTGTGTTGGGTATTTGCTTGACCCTTCCCAGCTGTTGTGTACTTCCTGATCCCCCGGATAATATGAGCCCCTTGCCTGATCAGCTTCCAGATGCTATACTGTTCCCAATTCCTCCTGATCATAAGTCTCAACAACAACTCAGTTCCAGCTGCCATAACTCTCATCCTTCCTCACTGAAGAGCTCCGTACCCAACAGTTCCCCCAAATGTCATAACCTGCCTGACCCTCCCCAGCTGTTGCAATCCTCCTGATCCCACGCTGTAAAACCTCTTTGATTTGTCCCCTTCCCAGCTGCTCTGCCCATTACCACTGAAGGCTGTGGTCCAGATCCTATCTCCTTGAAGTGTCCTACAAGTGCAAAAATTTGCTTTTATAACTCAGAGATTCTTTACAAGATATAACTTTTCAGTCAGATTTGAGAAAAACCTTCCTGCTGCAGTAGCTTTACAGTGGTAAAAACCTGACCATGTAGATTTATCAGCACCTGGAATATTGTACAATTACATGATATAATACTATATTGAATAACACAATATCAATACTATGTTAATTGTATATTATATAACCAATACAAATTGTTATTATTAGATCATATAGAATAAACATACAAACAATGAAATATAATAATAATAATGTTCATAGTATAATGCAATCAATATCTTCAGAATTTTTCTTTTATATATAGCAAGTGGAAAGAAACTGTACAGAAAACTGAAGCTTCTTTTACTTTCCTTC